ACGGAAAAAGACCACTGCCCGACTGAGGAATTGAACCCCAGACCTTCCGATTACCGGTCGGACGTACTGCCATTACACTACCGGGCTGTCTTCTTCCGTCTTAGGATCTCTCCAGGATCCTAACAGAGTATATCTTCCCTTCCCTTATCTTACCTCATCTTAACTTCGTTACATCATCTTGTCATAGGCTGAGAATTGTCAGCCTCAGAAGTTTTATATTTTCCAGCTTTTCTGACTTATCAGAGAAAGAGAATTTTCTCCACTATGTATCGGAAGTTTCAAAACAGTGCTGCCTATTGTTATCTTAAAATGCTATAATCATAAACGCCCCTGTAAAGTAACTATTATCCCGATAAAATCTCAAGCAAATTTAAAGTTTTTTCATCTTTTCATTGTTGTTTTCAAAACCAGCTAAGTTAAAAATAAATTTTTATTTCGAATTGAGAACCAAAAGCGGTATATGAAGTAGAAGAAAACATCATTTTCGGCTTTTCAATAAATATTTTTGGTTCTTTAAGATACTAAAATTGTTTAGAAAGTGGTAGGAACATATCGTAGAGCAGTCGACCCGATACCTTTTTCTCTTTTTGATAGCTGTAAAATCGACTTATTTTGGGGGATAAAAAAGTGCATCATTTGACTCGGTTTTCGACGCTGACTCCGAATATTATACTTTTGTCGCGTAAAAAGTGAGTTCTGATACCGAATTACGGGCAGAATTCTGATCTTTTTGCTCTTGATTCAGAAAAATTGTATTTTCACAGTAATAAAGCAAAATAAATAAAAAAGCGAACAGTACTTTTAAAGCTGGATTCAAGGCAAATCAAAAAATGGATATGAAACTTGGTTCCATACCTTCGAAGTAAATCTAATACCTTTTTCTAATTCAGTTTTTCGGGCAAAATCGGAAAAAAATAGTTTGAAGATTTCAACTTTGCAAATACAAGCCGAAAATTCGTACTTCTGTCGACACGGTCGTTTTTTAGAAATTTTTTGACACGAAAACATTGTTTGGAAAAGTCACTGACTACATATTCTTGGTCAGCTCGACGAGTTTTATCGAATGATGTATAATTAGTTAAGAAAAAGATTGTTCCGTTTTTGTATTATTTGTGCCTTATTCATCTTAATAATTTTAACTCTATAATTCTAGTTAAATTAATGAATAATTCGACATTTTCCAAGAATTTAGGATCTCGATATTATTGATGAAACTATCATCGCAAGGGAGAGAAGAAAAGTAGAAAGGGCTTGCGTCTTTATCTAGCACGTCACAAAGAACATCAATCATCGAAGCCTTTGACCTGTATAATTAATTGAGTAGTCATTACGGTTCAATTAATCTAGCAATTCTTATCCATCTAGAAATAGAATCAAGAACGATTATTTCTCGTCAGAGGAATAAAGGAAAATGACAGACAGACCTTTGCTACGGAAGACATTTGTTTACTAATGTTTCCGGTATCTTACTATATAAAAAGCTTTTCAGTTTCTGGCCCAAAGGAGTCTTCGCCATACATAATTATATCAAAAAATCAGTTTTAAAGCACCCTTACCTAATGTTATTCTAAAAAAAGGCTTACTAACCTTTTGATTTTGCAGCTGTAACCGTGCTCCCAGAGATTGGTGGTGGGTTTTGTGCTTAAAACAAAAGAGATACTCCCTTTTCTCTGAAACCTCAATAAATCTTCACTTACAAGCAGATGATAGTGCTGCCTTAAAAGTGAATAAACGTCCATTATCATCAGTGAATGTAAATAAAATTTGGGTGCCTAATCCTGCATTGAACCGTTGTTGACACTTCTCTTTCAGATCTTGCTGACATGATTTTGATGCACACAGTGGCTCATAGCCTAGATGAAATGGGATAACAAATGATGATAAAAATACCAGTTTATCAACAACAATTTTTGCTTGATTTGATTGAAAATTGTATGTATAAGAAAGCTAAAGAGATGAATTAAGAGGCGTTGTATGAGAACGTGACGAACAGCCAAAACATAGATAAATAAATTATTTATCTCTTTCCTACGTCGTAGAGGTGTTTGCCTTCTCTTTCTATTAGTTAGAAATTGTACAAACGAACATTTTCTTTCCTTTCTTTGTTTATGGATTTACTTCCATTTTTTTTTTGACTGTAATAAGTCTAAATTTTGTAAAAATCTGCAAAATTTATTGTTATCTTGAAAATGACGATTTAATCGTCGAAACGTCGGCTTTTTGAAATAAATAGACAATAATGATCTTTGCTGCTGTAAAATCACTTATCTTATCTCTTTCTATGTTTTCATTCGATTCTCCATTCACTATTAGGGAAATCAACAAGTCTTTAAAAGGTCATACCCAAAAATGGCCGAGTTATAAAAACTTTGCGAAACGTGCTCAAAAAACGGATGATAAATGAAGTTTTCAGTATTTTGAGATTTTTTCTTTTGATTTAAACTTTATTTATTCAAGCGAGTTCAACCGTATAAAAATACATTATAGCTCTCACCAGAAATAAAGAAAATAGAGAAGAAAAAAAAAGAAAGAAATACAGAAAGAAAGAGAAAGAAGAAGAAAAAAATATCGATATAACAAAAATTAAAACAAAAAATTAGTAAAATCTAAGCGTTTCTTTTAAATAAGATGTTACAACAGTGTAAGTGTGTGCTGTAGAGTGTATACGCGTGTCGGAGAGAAATATGTCGAACAAGGAGGGATTTGGACCAAGTTTAAGCTCAGTTAGCATTTTTTATCTGGCAACATGATAATGATCACAATCAAAGAGAAAATGCTTGATTGTTTTCACAACAATTGTTTCTCGCGAGCACCACAGGAACAGTCCTCACTGAAAGCTAGATTACGAGTGTACAGTTTACTATTTAGCGGATGGAAATCGACCAAAAACTGAAACATTAACTTTCCATACTTGCGCTCAACTAATGGTCTCTTGAAGTAAGGTAGCGAATAGTTGTTATATATCTCTTTTCTAAACTTTTTTACCGAAAAGATGTTCCTAAAAGTATCCATTTTCTTGGAATTCCATTCTCTCGCAGATACAGGTAAAAATGTGTTTTTTGAGATATCCTTTTTATATATTTCCTCCTTCAAAACTAAATTATTGTTTGAGCGTGTGTTAGATGAATTATAATCAAGAAAACTTCTTAATAGTAAACCAGCATGTCCATACACAATTTTATAAAACAATATCATTCTGTGAATAAAAAATGTATCATTTAACATCGACCAGCCATTTTTCTTTTCTGTTCTTCACCCTAAGATTTTGGAATGTATGAGTCGATAGAGCAAAAACAGCTCTTCAAAATAAATTCATTTTCGGTTCTCTCAACCATACTTTGCTGTAGGATGGAAAACTTTTGAATTCTGCGTGTTTTAGATCTTCGGAAAAACTAAAATTTCGGTTAAATCTTTTCTGTCTCTAGCAAAATATCAACAAATTATTTCACGCTTAAATAGTTTTTAAGTAAAACGCTTTTAACGGAACACAAAACTTATTTTGCTTTTTTCTTAAGACGGTTTTTTAGCTTCAGGGCTTTCACCACGCACAGGAATTCCTGGTAACGATATATCGGAGAAAGAAAATTATTTTTTGATTTGTAGATAACACTTATGGCTAGGAGTTGACAGAGTCCGATTTCTAGATTACGCTTCTGTTTTTTATAGAAATAAGGATTTCTGAGAAACGTTCCTAGGATTTTTCGGACTTTAAAGTTCTATTAAGCACCAGAAATCAGTAAATGAAAAATTTAAAAATCGGGCTCTGTCAACTCCTAGCCGTACGTGTTTACTGCAAAACAAAACCAGCCCTAGCTCTCTATTATTTATGTGGCATGAGAATTCTTATGCGTGGCAGACGCCTATTTTTGGCCCTTCTTGTGGCTCTCTCTCACGAACAGTTGCTAGTGGCGCCCAAAACAATAATTTCGTTACCACACTTGGACATGGTCAACATTCCCTGAAAGTTTGGTTCAGATCAGACCTACTTGGGCTGAGATAGGTTTCTGGCCTGGGAGGGGGGCCTTATGGACTTTTTCGTATCCCTAAAAGTGAACGGAGAATCGAACGAAAACATAAAAAAGAGACGTTAAATTTTTTCGTGTTTTGTCTTCAGTACGAAGCTGTACGATAAACTCCTGCGATGTTTCTTAACTCAAACTTCTCGAACAATCTCTACTCCGGTAACTCACTTGAACGGCTGTCTTCTGTTTTTCTTGTGATGTAGAACTAGTTTTTGAATGATCAAAATATTCACTTTTTTTCTGTGTTTCTCGTTTTCTTTGATCATTAATTATTGTATATACCAGAAAAAATTGCGATGATGCTAAAGAAAGTTTAAAATTATGATGAAAAGCATATCTTGATCTCCAGAATATGAGAGAAAATTCGCATTTTCACCTTTTTTTCATTTAAAAGATGAATAGTGTATTGTGCCTCCACTTGTTTCACTCATCGCGCTAAGAGACATCCAAGTCGTTTCGACTAGAAACTTTAGTATGACATGTAATTAATGTTACACCCCATCGAAAAAAACAGGTAATCATTTATAAATAACGCCCAGTCTTATTTTGAAAGCAAGATTCATAGATTTTAGTAAAATCAAGTAAAAAAACGTTCAGCAACTGCATTTTTTTATTAAAGGAAGAAGACGTGTTATTCAAAAAAAAAGCGACTCCTAGTTATTCTTCATGACGGTTCTTAGATATTGCTTTGATTATTTTCTACTCTTTGCAATTTCAAAAATCAAATAAAAAACATTTTTTTCCTGCAGTCCCCCTCAAACTCAAAAAATGTCTTGAAGGTAGCTAAATAGATGGAATTCACTCTGTTCATAATGACTGTGATCTCAGAATTTTATAGAAACGCTTTATTAGGATAAATAGCTTTTTAAAGATACTCCTTTTTCGATTTTTTATCCGATCGATGAAGATCATACTATCTCTGTCAGAAAAGATCAATTCACATCAGCAGTCATCTGGATGCGTCAAAGTTAGCTCTATGATTATCAAGCTGTAAGTGCTCAGTAGAAAACATACCATTTTTAGGACAAAAATCATTCTTGTCTTTTAGCCTATACTTTGCCATTCTGGTAAAACAGTAGTAACTAATAGCTGCAACGGATGATTAGCACATTTTAGCAGAGACAAACAGGTGATGGGTTAGGAATAATGAGGGCTGAAAAAAGGCTTCTTCCTCTGCAGGTGTTGGAAAAGGACATAAGAAAACGGAGCATAATCAGCCATTTTATGAAGCCATATAACACGAACACTCGCTGACCAATGCCTCTAGGAGATGCGCAAGTCTTTCAGGGATGATTACAACCCATCATAAGAAACATGTAGTCTCCGACTTACATTGAACTGCCACTCTTCCACCACCACGTTTTGGCAGATATACAGGTATCAAGGCTAAAATAATAGTTGCTGCTAATAGCAAACCCAGTATCCCGAGGCAGCATACAGCAATTAATGGAACTGCGGAAAACCATCTACGATTTTTTCTAAGAGAAATTACAATATTAATTACTTATGCCCTACTTGTACTAACGAGTTACATACATTGCAATTGATGATGTCAGCACAGCAGGTGCAGCCTCAGCTGGTGGGCTCTGGTGATACATTCGCCAGTCGTATGTTTGTATTTATATACTTTTCCTGAAAGTTGATTATTAATAGCCGATAAGAAATTACTATTAAAAGAGTCGACATACCTTCGCTTCTGCTGGCGAACCGAACTATAGTTTTATAAACTACTCCTGCTAAAATCAGATATACTCGTAGCTTTTATTAGGCGATCGGAGAGAGTGAATTATAGAGCGCCTATCATGCGTATTTTTTCTCTGATTTTTTCTCGTTTTTTTTCGACTTTTGTAGATGAATATAGCTGCTTCGTAGTAGGAATGCCGTTAAAATTGTTACCGCTTGAATCGCTTCAAGCGCTTTCTGTATTTTGATACATTCATTCACCAAAAGGAAAAAAGACGACACGATAGAGAGTAAACAAAATATTAGAACCATAGCAAATAAGTAATGTTAGACTACATTCACATTGTACGACTTTGTTTCTTTCTTTTCTGTGCTTTTGATTTCATTACGCAGCGAAAAAGACTTTTTGTTAGAAGGCTCTCAAATAGGAGTCACTTCCACATAGTTTAGTGGCATTGTATAGTTAGATTTCTAGAGATCGCTTTGAAAAAGCGGGATTTATGCAAACGAGCAACTAGACAGAAGAGAGAAAAATAGAAAAAATACATGACGGAAAATAACATTTTCGTTCTCTTGTATGCAGAAACGGAAGAAAAAGAAAAGACATGAGGAAGAAAGAAATGTTCCATTTTAATCCATGCTTTTCTTTCAATGTGTTTATAAGCAGATAGTTGTCTGACATTTACAGCCACCAGAGTTTTGTATGGATTGGAGTACAACAGGATAAACTGGTCTGAAGTAGAGAGACTCTCAGACTTGACTATGGGAAGCGCAGTTTTTAGTCGATACAGAACTCTGACAATCACTTAGTACCGTTTATTTCAGAATAAACTACTCTTTTATTTTATTTGCATTTTTCTTTACAAACCAGATAACCAATAAACAACATATAAACTACGTAAGGAAAATATAAGCTGTAACATTTGCCAAAAAGGCAGCGCACAGGCTAGCAATAATCCATAGAGAATGGTGATTTCTGCAGACTTTAGTAGACTAAACTTTTAGTTCTTCAATAGCTTGTTCAATAAAATTCTTTTTTGGGATAAATGGTAGTTGAATAAGTCCTTACAAATAGACGGTAGTTGCTTCTGTTCATGTTGATGAATGGGAGTTAAAAAAGTGCAGCCATCTGAAAAACCCTTATCCGCAAGAAGACGAGTATGGGGCAAAAGAGCTGGAACTCCGGCGTCATCATACTGTTGTGTGTTGACCCAAGGTACCCGGATTTGAAGAAAATGATTTTTCGGTCAGTTGATATAATCAGGATCGTTCCCGGACGATCAGTCTTACTTTCGCCACTGCAATAGAGAATTGATGGTGAGTATGGTGAAATCGCCCAATATTATACTGCGCTGGCCACACAAAGTGCTAGTAGACGAGTACGAAATATTCTAACATCATCTACACGCTTGTAAGTATATTTTTAATCCGATAACTTGTGCAGATAAAGATTGAGTTGATTAAAGTCATCAAAATTAATGTCTGCTAGTTACTGAAAAATTCCTGCTATTACTTTAAAGGTACTTGATTTTAATCTGCTTTTCTGTAGTGCTGCGGTATGCAAAGGGTATTGACTTCAGCTATTTACTTTTTAGGAAGCAAGGGCACAAATAGCAAGAGATCTGAATATCTATATTGAATTTTTTCTTGTTTAGCTCACAACGGTTCATCAATCGCAGTCAATAAACCGTACAACTCATTCATCAATCCGATCTCGTTTGCAATCCATCACTTCGCCTATAATTTCATCGTCGCTTCGTTTGCCTACTGTTCCAGACCGGCCGTCTGGAACAGTAGAAACAAACATAGAATCGTCCCTATAACTTAGATCAAAGAAAAATGCATCATATTTTGGAAAATCTTTTTAATGGAATATTCGATAGAACACATTTCAATCCAAATACCTGTTCATTGCATTTGTTTCTGGTACTACATATGAAGCTAAAGAACTTGACGACAAGTTGCCAGAATTAGCCTTTCATATAATTCTGAGAAATACTATAGAATCATAAACAGAGGCTTTTGTCTTTTTGTTCTTCTTTTGAGCAGTTTTGTGTTTGTTTTCATACATTTGCTAGCTATGAGCGATAAAGATATTAACTCAATTAAACAACATAAGTTACGGTCTCGGATACACAGTGGAATTTGTTTTATAGAAACTTAAAAGGTTGAGCCAGAGATTTCATTGCTGTTTCACAATTTTTTGCTCTGGCACTTCAATATTTAGATGTATATTCAGCAACGTTTGTTCTAAGAATGCTCGTTTTTTTTCGAAATTAACAAGCCGTTTTCTGTGTTTTTGTTCGACTCTTTCAAGAGAAGAATTATTTCTTAAAAACGTCTAAATTGTATGGTTGAAGTCCCCGGAAATCTGCGTGTTCTATCTTTCTCTCGTTCAGTTCCTTTTGTTTTAGCTCTCCTGGGATACTATGTCTGACTAATGAGAAATACTTCATGAGTCAGGGACGTGTAGCAAAAGGAAAAACATTACTGAAACTTTTCTCATTCGTCACGTAAATACGTAATGTTCTGCGTTCTTTATTTACACGAGACGACAACAAATTTTGCTCCGAGATCGTTTCTTTTCGTTTCTGCATACGGGTAATGAAAATTTTTCCTTGCTCCTTTTTCTATTTTTCTCTTTTCTGTAGCACAGAAAAGCAAGAAACAAGGACGCACAATGTAAATGTAGTCTAACATTACTTATTTGCTACGGCTCTATTTTTTTCCCACATAAAAGAAGTGAACGGAAAAGAACGAAACGATGTTAGGTTTCTTATGTCGTGTTTTTCTCAGTTAATTGTTAAAACGTTTTTCATACCGGGCGACTACTTTAGTCAGTCAATAACCAGCTAAAATTCAACATATTCTCTTCCGTAACAAAAAACAGTGTTTAGAAAGTTTTATGTGAAAGTCAACAATCAACTTTATCGTTGTTAGTTCAGTCTTTTACAAGTTGTACTCCTGAGTGTATGGAACATTTTGTGTGCTCAACGTATATGATAATTTTGACTTTCGGGAGCGTTCACATCTTTTTTTCTAAAAGTCTATTAACATGTCATGTATTTTAATGGAAGTGTCAAAATGAGCAAGAAGATATAATTTCGCGATGAAAAAAAGTAAGGTGTAAAAATTGTTAGCACTTATTTTCGGATATATCTAACTGTATCGTCATTTTGGATATATCATGATATACTCATCAGTCGATGAGACATTAAGGCTATATCCAACTGTATTCAAAAATGAGGATACACTTGGATACATCAGAATGTTATGATGTATCCGCCGTTATTCTAAAAGACAATCAAAATCACTGAGGGTGACGGTTTTAGGACTGAAAATTATCCCGGATACATACTGATGCGGTTCACAAAGTTTTAGAAACAACGGGCGCCGATTATTACCTTGATGAAACTGGGAACGCATCACCGGGCATCCCGCCAAAATCTCTCTCAATTTTCATTCCAACGACTTGAACTTCTTCTTAGAAAGTTCTCCATTCAAGTCTCTACAAAAACCACACTGAACATTTTTATACATGATATACAGTTGTGTCAGAAAGTATTCGTACGACCAGCTTTTTTACTTTTGCTCAGTTATTTAAAAGATTTTTGTACTTCCAAATATATCAGAAGAAAGCTCGAGGGTTACTCTGTCTAATCTAAAACTTTCATCTCGTATCGCCTTTTAATGACGGAGCTGTATGAGAAACAAGTTGTACAGTTTGCCTTCCTATGCCAGAAAGTATTCGTACGACTTTAAAACTCATGTCTCCGCAAATGCAAATGTGATAAAAAAATCGAGTAATATATGATTTTGAAGGGCAAGACACGGGCAACATTTTAGCAAAAAAATAATTTTCAAAAGGCCCTATTTCAGGGAGACTTCGAAGCATTTCACTAAACGAGATCATTTCTCGTTGTAGGAAAATTTGGATCTCAAAAATGAAAACAAAAAATCAGCTAAACATCTCTAGTCTGCTCAAAACTCGACGCTTCGCTCAAAACCAGTTTTTCGCTTATTTCTCGAAAAGTAGACTTTGTACCACAAAGCGGACTTCAGATTCGAACTCTACGCGAAATAACGAATCAGAATTTCTATCCCGTTTCTTCCCAAACCACCCGGCGGGAAAATAGCCCGATTTACTGATGAGAGGAGTTTCAGCTTTATATAGTTAACTCTACGCTACCATGCTTTCTTCTATGCCAACAGATATATACCAAGATAACACAAATCTTTCTGTCGCTCTTTTCCAGATGAACATCAACAGGATAAATATGAGTATGTAAGTCAAGGACACATAAATGTGATTATTCTCCATTGACTTTAAATTCACGTGCGGAAAGAGCACCATCAGGCTATTTCAATGAAGTTGAGCATATGATAAAAGAATATCAGTAGTTGCCCTCTAAAAGTGTAGTTGCATGTAGCAAGAAGTGAACACCCATTCAACAGTTTGAACATTAGAGGTATGCAAATGTTCCTTAGTTAGTCCCTGAAATTCGCTCACTGAATGGGGTCGTTACAGGATAGGAGAAACCAAGAACAAGCTTTGATACTTTTATTTGATGTTTCATAGAATAAAAATCAATAACCAAAGCCAATACTAGCTTTTCTCTCTCACGTTATTTCAATGCAATCGTATACATATAAACGTCAATGTAGATATACAATCACGAGAATCATGGTGATAGGCTAGGTGAATACCTTTAATGCTTTTGCATTCAAATAAGAAACAAAATAAAAATCTTGATTAACATTAATAACGAAGCAAAAAGCTTGAAACTGAGTGTTATTATGAAACGCAGTTTTCGGACAGATGATTGAAATGCACTTACTACATGTGAGGCGCTTAGCGCACGTGGATATGATATCTTGCTTTTGCATTCAAATAAGAAACAAAATAAAAACCTTG